AGGAAAAGAAATTCTATGTGTTTTTTGACTTTTTGACTTTTCTTCCACATCTCACCCAGGTTACACACTCCTTCACTGTACTGCTGCATGGGGACAACTAGAAACTTTGAAAATTCTGGTAGAACTGGGAGCTGATATTGTAGCAACCACTTTCCGAGGTGAAAAGGCCCGAGATATTGCCTGCCGCTATGGCCAGGCTGAGTGCGTGGACTTCCTGGACTGGTCAGGTGAGAGAGAAACTCCTGAGATGCACAGCTGTACAGATGAGGTTTGGATCACCAAAGGGACATACATGTTAAGCTGGTGGAAGTAATCCAAGCTGCACTTGAATCATTGAAGTAAGGAGGATTTACACCAGCTAAGGATCTAGCCCTAGGAATTACAAATGTTGTGCTGTTCAGGTCATTAGGCCCTTCAACTAGTGAGGCCAGATGTTCATCTGTGACACTGTGGGTGGACAATGGGTAGCTAGTTGACTGGATTGTGTAAACCCTAAGGAAACTCTTCATGTATTGGAAAAATCAGGAAATTTCCTGGTCCTGCCAGTGATCAGAGAGAAAGGGTGAAGTGGATTCTTACTGGTGTGGCTCCTAGACACATGGGCCGGTCATGGACCTGTTTGGCCTCTGGGGCAACTTAGCATAGTCTAAGAACTGCTCTGTTACACCTGACAGCTGCTGCCCTGAGGGTCTGTTCTGGGAGCTAAGGTCACTGTAGTCCTACATTGCCCCCTTTCCTTTGGCCACTTGGAATATGCTCTGGAGCAAGAAAAAGGTATCACATCAGCTCTGTGCTACACTGGCACTTGCCTTTTGCCAGGGGAGCCACAGGTAACTGAATACACCAGCCACTGAGCTGCATCACATCAGTAGTGTGGCTTAGTACAGTTGGAGTGTAGGGGAAAATGGGGACCTTTCCTGCCAAAAACAGTATTATTTGATGCTCCAAATTCAAGCCACCCTCACCAGAGTTTTCAAATATTTGTTTTTAATTAGGCTATTTAGCTTCCCCTCCTCCCGCTCCACTCTTTCATGACGGAATTCAACTCTACATTTCTTATCATTAGATGAGCAGTTCAAACACACAGCCTTTGATTTCTACTTGGCACTACCACCGACTTTCTTAACAACATCCTTGTAAAGAATATGGAAAATAATTATCAGAGCACAAAAATATGATTTTTAGAGAAGGAGGGGCCCTTCTTCCCATTACATTTCCTGCATCACAGTTTCCACATTGGACCAGTGGTCATATGGAGAAGTAGTGACGATTTCTTCATCATCCTTGGTTTCTTTCACCTTTCTCTTTTTATTGAATTGCCGTGGTGGGGCTTCTTTCCTCTCATGGTGGCAGACATGCGTCAGGTATTTCAGCATCATGGATGTATTTGCCACCATTCTCCACAGCATTTCGTCCACACTGGAGGTGTGTTCACTATGGAATTCTGTTCCAACCGAAACTGTGGAGGTCTGACTTACTACCTGGAAAGACAGAGCCCATAACATGGGGAATGTAATTCTTTTTTCCATAGAGTCACAAACCACCAGGATAGATTTCATTCTTATTTCAAAATTCAAATGTGAGTGGACCAAACCTTCAAGTAGTGTAAATCAGCTCCACTGACAGTTACAATGATTTACCTGATGGAGCTACTTTGGTTTATGCCAGCCTTTGGCCCTGGCCCAGACTCTTTATTTCCACAGGTTTATTCTGTTCAGTTTCTTGTAAAGAAAATCTCCTTTTTGCCCTTCTATTCTAGTGGGAACTCCCACCAGTTTTATGTTTGCCAGTAAAGTATTTGAATATTTCCCCATTGCCCATTCTGGGGTTTAAACTAGACTCTAACATTCAGGAGCTAAAAGGAGAACTTCATGGCAGCAGCTCCCTGGATATGCATGGGCTTCTGGTGGGTTTTCCATAGAAAGCTAGGAACAGTCAGTGGGAGAGCTCGAATCTCTTCATTTTTGACAACTGGACTGCTTATTTGAATGTCCAAATATGGATTTAGGAATGTAGCTCACAGGTTTTAATTCTAAAGAATCTCCAGTGCTATGCTGTAATCCAGGGGCAGTCATCCCCTGACTTGTGGGCCAGATCCAGGCTACAGTGCCATGTCATCCAGCTCGTTGGGCTCCCCACAGATCTGGTAATTTGGCAGTGTGAGGGGAAAAGCAGGCAGTGGTACTGATTTCCTGCTGCCAGATTTCCAGAACCATGGGTAGCCCTAGGCCCTGAGTGCTGCATCAGGTGCCTAATCCCAGTGCGCAGGACTGGGCAGGGTTACCGCTAGGTCTCACAGACAAATCCTAGTATGCAAGAAGTGGTGCTGGGCCTTGGGACCCAATCCTGGTATGACGGGACTAAAGGGGACAGCTCCAGGACCCTGAGATTCTATCCCAGGGTGTAGGGATGGGGGAGGTGGTGCCAGGCTCCTCAGATCCCAATCCTGGTGCATGGAGCAGAGGAGGCAAGTCCTAGCCTCTGGAGCCCAATCCCAGCCTGCAGGAGTGGAGGGGGTAATGCCAAGCTCCAGGGGCCCAATCCCAGCATGCAAGGGTTGAGGGGATGGTGCCAGGCCCTCCATGCGTAGACCCAGTAAATGGGGATGGAAAGAGGCAGTGCCAGGCTCCAGGGTCCAATTCTGGTTTGTAGGGCTCAATCTGAGCTACAGATCAGCCCCACACCACTCATCTACCTGTGGGACCAAAAGGTTGAGCACCACTGTTCTAAAAACCAGGGACAGGCATGTTCAGCCTTCGGCCCATGGACCTGATGTGGCCTGTGGAGCTATGGCATCCAGCTTGTGGGACTTGCCACAGTTGAGAAATGTGGTGGCAGGGGTGCAGTGGCAACAAGGCCACCCTTCCCTGCTTCTGAATTCCCAAGTCCCCTACAGTGGGTCAGATCCAGGCAATACTCCCTTCCCTTGTGGCCTGAACCATGCCTTCTTCCCCTGCAAGGGCCTGGGCTACATCCCCTTCCTCTGCATAGCTCCACCCTCATCCTTGTGGCTAGATGGGGTCCTGCCATACCTGCACTGGGTGCCAGATTAGGAACACTAGATGGATCCAAACTGTATATTGACTGGGCACTGCCAATCCAGCCTACCAGGCAAAAATGTTGGGGTCCACTGAGCTAAGACCTTTTGAGTTCAGTAATGGACATCACTTACTTTGGGCATCACATCATTCCTTTGATGTCTCCTCCATTTGATCCAAAGGTAAAATGCAGATAAGGAGAACAGGAGGTAAAGAACCACCTTGATGCTAATACACAGGATATCCAGCCATCCTTTGGTTATTTCCAGGTTGGTAAAGTAGAGAGAGAATTGGTCCAAAGGGTAGGGCAGGCAAGTAGACAGAAACTGTATTCCAAGCTCCATTTGTTTCAGATCCTCTGGAAGAATATCCATGCCAACTCTTCTCCAATTTGGGCAACCACAGATGCAAAGGCCATTATGGAACAAGAAGACAGCCCAGAGAGAAAAGCCCAGGAAGAAACTTCTAATAAGCATTGTCTTGCTTTTTAAGCAGAAAAGACTCCAGAGATTTGGTTTCCACATACCAAGTGCAGCCAGAGATCCAGCAGCAGGTGGCCTTGAAAGTTCATACTGTATTGCCTTGGGTGTATTTCCAGCAAAGGAACACCTCTATCATAGCATTTAGTCAATGAGGCCACACTGTAGTCCTGAGTGCCAGAGTAGTTGTAAGCTGGTGATCTCACCAGCTGTGGGCTTTTTTCAGAATAGGTACTATGATGTCATAAGGAACTTAAAGCTTTTCTCAGTGGACAAGGTAAGGAGTTAAAGATACAACAACCTAACGGGGTCTGGTGACTAGAATGGGGCATGGGGAGTTAGGGAAACTGATTTCTAATCCTGACAATGCCACTGGGTTAACTTCTCTGTACCTCAGTTTGCCAATCTCTAAAGTGGGGATAACATCAACTCCTTGTGTAGGGTGCTTTGAAAGCCTCAGGTGGATGGGGTTATGTAAGTTGAAAGTAGTATTAAATCAATGGCCTGGTTTGTCAATGACACTGGTAATAACCTTATATTGGGAAGTGGGACCAGCAATTCTACTTATGAAATCAGAGAACATGGCAATCTGGTCTAATTAAGAACTTTGCTTTGAACCCTTTGCTCAATGGAGCAAATCTACTGAAGTCAGTTTCCTGTGTGAATACTTTCTGCCTGCTGTGAACAATGGGATTCATCGTGCCCTTCAGTCACTTGCTCATTGCTGTGGTCAGCTCTCTGCTCTTTATGAGTTGCTTTCTTATTCTAGGTCTGCCAATGACTGATGCCTATGTTTTTCAACCTATGAAAGTGAACCACAGTGATCTTGAGAGAAGGTGGATCTCTGGCAACTTCCCATAAAGCCAGCAGGATTTAGGGGTATTCACCATTGCACAGGATCTGGTGTATACATTTTAAAGATACATTGATGTAGGAGAAAACAGCATGGTCTAATGGGGACAGCATCTGAGCACATCTGCAGCATGGCATATAGGTGTTTAGGAGATCATTAGACTGTGGCTGTCTGGATGACTTTGGACCAGACACTTAATCTTTCAGGGGCTAAACCCTTTTTTGATGTAATCTAGCACTGACATCAACAGAGCTATGATGATTCATGCTAATTTCCCTATCTCTAAAATCGGTTGACATACTTATCTACCTTTTAGGAATGCAGCAGAGTTTCATTCATTGATATTTATAAAGACAAATGTTGGCTATTTATGTGGCCTTTCCAGCAGCTTTTTTCCCATGGTGCCCAAGCCAGATTCTTCTTGTATTGTAGTCTGTAAACACTTTCCCATTATGTGAACCTTATCTTTTGTGTCCTGTTTTGCAGAAGCTAAACAGACCCTGCAGATGTTCATCAGCCATATTCAGGCAACAATCACAGACCCAGAGAAGGTGCAGGGAAGGCTGAACAAGGAAGACAAGGTATGGTGCAGAACATATATTGTGAGGACTATTCTCAGCACAGCTTAGACCTGCTTGCCTGATTCTGAGTCAGTGTATGGGTCCTAGTGCCATCACATTTTTCAGAAAGGCTCCCCAACCAGAGTAAAGATGCTCAGAGATGGTTTTTATGGGGAGCTGATCACCATGTTATTAATAATGCTTTGATATCTTTGGGGAGAAGGTGCCATATGTGCACAAAGGGATTTAGGAATTGAGCCTTGCATTGCTTAATTCCTGTGAGAGAATGGAGACAATGATCCGTGAGTCACAAGGTCAATACAATACAGCTCAGTTTGTTTGGCAGGAGACTGATGAGGCCCTCGTCGGTCACATCATAAATTTTACACTGCATGATTCCTGCAAAAGAGCTCTGCACCTCACATTCCTCTCCAGTGTCTCTGTGTTTATGGGTCCTGGAGAGACTTGTGCCAAGTTCTCCTAGATCCAAGAGCACAGAAGAAGTTAATGCTGGAGTCTGGGTGAGATCTTGGGAGTTCCTAGTGTCCAGTCCTGTGCTCTGACCACTAATCCATACCTACCTCTGTATTTAACTCATACAAGTTAACCCATAATCAGTGTGCCTTGTTATTGATTCCTTACAAAAGAGGCCAGCTTCACTTCCAGAAGGCCAGTGTTGTCCCCCTCTTTGGTTTATGGGGGGTTTAGAAACTTGGATGTCTCAGGAAGCAGACCTGCATTATTACCTGTGTTTTGGTTAGATGTGTCATCTGTTTATAGCAACTGGTTTTGGGGGCTCTCTCAGCCTGAAGGAGATTTCCTTATTTTCTACAGAATGCCTCTCTCAGTGCCTGTCGTGCAAAATCTGACTGGCTCAACAGCACTAAAGAGGCCACCAGGCAGGACTTTCTGGATCAGAAGCAGGAGCTGGAAGATAAAATGCTTCCCATCTTCACTAAGATGGCCACACCCCGTGAGTATGAGAACTATTGGGTAGACACACCATGGATTAATAAAGGGGCAAAATGATACTTTCTGCTATGTTTACAGTTCCTTTCTTAATAATTCCTAACATTTTTGTTTGCCTTTTTGATGGCTGCTGAGTACTGAGCTGATGTTTTTAGTGAACTGTCCACAATGACTCCCAGATCTTTCCTGTGTGGTACCAGCTAAAGTAGAGCCCACCATAGAGTAGGTATAATTTGAATTTCTTTTGCTCAGGGGCATCATCTTACACTTACCTACATTGAATTTCATCTGCCATGTAGCTGCCCATTTGCTCAATTGTGACAGATCCTTCTGTAGCTCCTCACAGTCTCAGTGCATCTTTACTTTACCACTTTAAATAAGTGGTCGGCAAATCTGGCCATCTCACTACCCACGACCCTTTTCCAGCTCATTTACGAATGTTAAACACTTGTCTCAATACAAAGTCCTGGGGGACCTCATTGTTTATGGACTCAATATCCAGTCCATTTAGGGTTGCTTTGTGCTGATCTCCAGCCCCTGCTGATTGGACAGTGGGGAGTGAGGAAGACAGATGTATATAAATAAATAAGGATTTTTGTGGGTGATGTTTTTTATTGGACAGAATGCATTGTTGGGGGATAGTTAGACAAACTTTAAAACACAAAATATCCAAGCCTGAGTATCTTGTGCCTGAAAGCTTGTCTAAATGTCTCCCAGCCATGCAATTGGTCCAATAAAAGATATCACTTACAAAGATCTTTGCCTCACATATTTCCTGGACTATCTTGGTTACATGACTCCAATATTATCATATAAACAAGTTTATGATAAGGCATCACAGAGGTGGATAATGATTATAAACAACTGTAGAGAGAGACAAATCTTAGGTGGGGAAAAATGAATTCATGGATTATTCACTGCTGAGTTAGGAAGGACATACTAGAGTCCTGTGTACGTCCTAAGAACTTTCAGGGGCTCCTTTCCTCCCATTTCATTCCTAGCCTTCCCTTTCCATCACCCCATAATATTCCTGCATATTTCTCCTCACTAGCTCTTGCTCTTCATTGTTTCCACACTCCCAAGCCTTAGCACCCTGTACTCACTCTAAAGCCTCTCTTTCTTGGCTCCTGCATTCATGCTTTTCCAGCTCTCCCATGGCCTTGTAGCTATGCAGTACCCAACGCCTAGCTTCCCCAATGCCCTGTCTGCCACCAAGCTGAGTCTTGTTTAATTGCTCCTACTACCACACTTCACCTCTCTCTGCATGCCCTGCTCACCATCTTAGGCTACTTGTTCCTCAGCCTTCATAAAACCCTGATGACTTTAACCTTCCCACTCAGAGAGAAACAGTCAGTTGGCAGTCCAAAGTCAAGCAGAAGGCAGGGTAATGGTACAATTCCCTGCTCAGCCACCATTTCCTAGCTCTTCCTGCCCTTGCCAGAGAGGACTGTACATCACAAGGGCTGAGGAGGCAGATTCTGATGAAATTGCTTATGCACATGTAAGCTATTCTCAGGCTCCCCACTAGAAACCAGAAGAAATCTCTGAACACCAACTGTTAACAGGAATTAAGCTGCAGAGCATATAGCTGCAAGTGCGTGGTGAAACCCCTCCAAGGAACTAGCAGTGCTGGGATTCTATAGCTTTGAGTAGGAAGGGGCACGAGGCATGGCCATTAAGGATTGTTCTTAAGAGCATGTGAGTCTCTATGGTAGCCTCAGTGTCAGGTAATAATACTGGCCATTTACTCATGTTCCTGTGTTGCAAAATACTGTCCTTTGCCATATGCATCAATGCATCAGTGACTAGAGAAGAGGTGATAGTGAAGCAATAAAAATCACTTTGAAATCTGCTTTATTTCAGGTCTTCCAACTGCAAAGAATGTTAAATCTTCAGTGAGTAGCAGCAGAATCTGATGCTTCATTTTCCCAGATCCCGTTAATCTCAGGTCTCACTTTTTTTTTAAACATCACACACAAATCCTCATTAATCTGAATTTAAAGAGAGGGGATGGTCACTTAGAACCAAACCCCAAGTGCTAAGCTCTGGGTTTACAGGCATACACTGCAGCAAGGTCCAGCTGTGATTAGTATCTCAATGCTGAGCTAGCAACATAGTCTCAAGGTTCATAAAAAGTTAGATTAGGTGCTGGCTGTCTATAGAGATTGGGTCAGAGGTAATTTCCATTCCAGTTGGTTCAGTTAAATGACACTGTTATTGTGACAAGCTTTAAAAGTGGAGGAAAAAAGGCAGCCTCTTCAGGGCTCTGTCACTCATGATCATTTTAGCATCACAATAATTTAGGGTGCTTCCATCTAGAACTCCCATTGCCTCCAACAGAGGCATCCCTTTGCAGGGCAGGACCTTCCTTCATAATAGCAGGCTTGCAAGACAATAAAACCTAAGTGCAGAGCTGCATAACATCACTGATTCCTACTCATAATGCAATTTCTACTCTCAAATCAGACTGTTGTTTTTGTCCCTGCTTGATGGTTTGTCAGATGCAGCCCTTGTACTTGGTGGCATAATCTACTAATGGTAACATTTTCTGAACAGGGATGGAGAAAGCACAGCTACACTTTTGGGCTTGATCTCCTACTGAAGTTATTTGCAGAGTGCCCTATTTGTGTGAGATGTGTTGCAGATATAGATTAAAAGTCTCTGTGCTGGAGATTTTGCAATTTTAATTGCAAGATTAATAATAGTAAAGACACCTATCCCCCATGTTTAAATGAATGAAACCATCCCTTGATTTCTGCTGGTACCCAAGTATTATGATGACTGAGTCCTTCTCCAGCTGGGAGATTTACAGCTGAGATAAACAATGTCTTAGTTGCAGAGAATAAGCCACAAGATGATGTAAGCATCTTACCAGCAATCAATTACAATATAGTTAGCCTATTAGTGATGATGTAGGCACACACTCATAAGTTCAGTAACCTGTGTATCTCCCTGGACATCTGAAAATACTTTTTTTTACCAAGGGAGGAAAGATTCTTTAGTACAGTGGCATTCTCTCTCATGCCTCAAGATGTGTCATGCTATATTTATTCTTCATAAATATGAAATTACCAGAAATTCACACAAGTTTAGCACCTATTAAGCACTGTAGCACTGACCTAAGACTTCACTGGAGGGTCAATATTTGTGCAAGATCCAAGTTTGTGTCTAGAACTTAAAGGCAGCTTTATCCTCTAAAAGTAAAAGCCATAATATAGGGAGTGCCTCATAGACTTATATCAGTTAAGCTGCTTGATGCTGTTTCTCACTAATTTCATGTAATTGCACTTTTATTGTTACCAAAACTAACACTTGCATATTTCTCAGACATCCAAGCACTGATTTCTAATTCTAGTGGGGAGTATACTACTTATTTTCAGGGGTATAAAACTTGATTTTTTAAATATCTAAACAAATTAAACACTTCTTTCTAACAGAACATCCTTTAAAAACTGCATCCAACTTAGTAAATTTCTTTATTTTCTGATGTATAGTTTTATTTCTAGTCCCCTGTTGATATTTTTCTCTCTGACACTCATAATAGATCTTTACAACAAGGAAGAAACTGACAGATGGGAAAGAACGGTGAAACTGGCTACAGAATACCACTGCTAAATGAACAGAAGAAAAATAACAATTTTAATAAAAAAACCCTCCATTTTGAGTCCTAAGTGTTACTTGGAACTTCAGGAGGTATGACAATTTTTTAGAGAAGTGAAATTTTTATGCTTCTTTTGAAATAAAAACAAATCAAGACAATATCAAAACTAAATTTTATCAAACACTAGATAGTCATTTCCTTCTGTATTGTGGTGTTTAATTGCATCGCTCATCAACATTTGAGCTCAAGATGTGACAGCAA